CCGAGGGGTCCTGACGGCCGCCCGCTGTCGCCCGAACCAAGCGGGGAGATGTGTGTGTGTGCGGAGGGGGCGGCGGTGTGTGCTCTCCTGTTCAGAGTGCGTGGATTTAAATGAGTCGTGCTGTTGTTGACGTCCGTGACGTGGAATCTGATGTGTGTGTCTGTGTAATAGATGCCTTTACGCAGGAGGAAAGCAAATGGATCTCCTGCCAAGTTCAGCACCCCTGGCTGCGAAACTGCGGAACACTCTGATTCAGTACCACAGCATCGGAGACAGCGAATGGCGGGTTGCGAAGAAAACTGTGAGTGATGTGGGCGGCTTCAGGCGTGCGGCTTCATGTGTTCTCTCAAGGAAACTGTAGGTCACTTCTTGGGGGAAAAGAGCTTATTGTGCTGTATAAAACACGGCTATAAAACATTTCAGGACTTCCACATGAGAGGCCCTGGGAAACCACCCTTCTAGGATCGTAGAATCATACAATGGTTTGGGTTGGAAGGGACCTTAAAGATCATCTAGTTCCAACCCCCCTGCCATGGGCAGGGACACCTTCCACTAGACCAAGTCCAACCTGGCCTTGAACACTTCGGGGAGGGAGGCATCACAACTCCTCATCTCATAGATCTTTAAATGACAGAACATGTTTTTCCTATCTACAGACATACTCCATCATTCCTTCTACCCATTTTCAGGGAAGTATCTCACAACAGAAGTTTATCTGTGTAGGACTATAGGCTTTTCTTAAAGCAAAATGTGAAATACTGTGGACACTAGGAGTGTTGCAAGATGCTAACTCGTACTTCAAACAAACCTGACACAGCGTGCAGGTATACTGCTGGCCTCTGGAATTATCTTCTGACTCTAATGCTTGAACCCATCATGCTTCAGCTTCCAGATGTCTTCCTCTTAAAAAGACCATTCTCAATTCTTTCTCTCATGTTGCTTCATGTTTCCTTGGCCTTCAGGGCCCCCTCATTACCATAAGTTTCCTTCCATGAAAGGGAATGCAGTTTCTGCTTCCTCCAACCAGTTTGCCATACTCTTCTTTTGAGATACTTGTTTTTTCTGAGTCTTGCTTCATCAAGCTAAATATTTACTATTACCTCAGTTCTAGGCTGGGTGAATACTTTTTTCTAGACTGGGTGAATACTTGTCCTTCTAGCAGGTAGAAATGTGTTTGGTGTCTCAGTGTAGCAACGTGGTAAGACTAGTGTGGTAAGTTTCTGTCTTTGCCCTTTTGTTACAGTGGTTTGGGTGGGTCTTGCTGATTTTTTTTTTCCTTTGTGAGGAGACATTGATGAGTGTCAGTTGTTCCAAATGTAACTTGATTATTTGCAAAATTAAAAAATTCCCTCTCTTGAAAGGAAGGAACAGAGCATCCAAACCTTTCACTCTTGCAAAACACCTACACCATGTCTGCTCTGCTAATTGCTAAGTCTTTTACCTATATCATTGTTTTCCTTTAGGTATTTACCTGAATCTCACTGTCTTAGATAATGTTTCTCTCCAAATTTTACCCCTGTAAAATTTCCAGTTGGTGTCCTTCCCTGCCTCCTTCCCTGCCTCCCTGCCTCCCTCCCTCCCTCCCTTCCTCCCTCCTTTCCAGTAGGCCTGCCAAGCCCTATTTATGCACAGACTTCTAGCACTTGAATCTGAGAAAGGCAATGGACTGTTTTTTGTAAAGAATGGAAATTTACAAGTAAAAGGTGTCAGAAACATCTGCTTCTGTTCTTAAGAAAACTGTACAAAAGCACCCAGGTCACTGAGCACTTTGGGGTGAACCATAGTTAATGGTAAAGTAATTTCCTTTTCTTCAGAAAAATGGATGCATTTTCTGGACATCTTATAGCTGTGTGTAAGTGACAATTAACATAATATCTTCCATTTTTTTTTCAGAAAGATGCAACTGTGTGGCGTAAACCATCAAAGGAATTTAGTGGATACCTGTAAGTTTGCCTGCAGAGCAGATACTTTTTTATGGTTCCACAGATGTGTTTTTTAGAATTTTCAAATGAAGGTTGTGGATTCTACAGCCCTCAGATACACAGATTCTCCAGAGGAGAAACTGAGTGGATCATCTAGTGTGCCTGTACCATTTTCTTTTACTGTTATACTTTGGTGCTTTAGTGTTGCTTGGTGTCTAGAACAACAAACAATGAGAACTGTGGAACACACCACAAAGCTCATGTTGGCTGAAGTGGGCAGCAGCATAGGCCCAGGCCTTTTGAAAAGTTGTTCTGCAAACCATAGAAGGTCCAAAGTGTTAGTGGGTGACAATCCAGTCAGTGCTGGGACTGTTACAGTGACAATGGAACTGTGGTAGAGTAATATATCAAGCGTGTAGTTGTGGGAAAGTTGTGTGACATAAAGGCCCTTCTTGTGTGAGTTTCTGTCACTGGGTTCTGTTGGTATCTGTAGGTTTAGGTAGAGAAATAGTTACTAGAAAACAACACTCTGAAGAAATGAAAAGTCATGTGAAAAGCTAGTGTTTGAAAATATCTCAAAAAAAGATACACTCCATAAAATTTAAATCCTATTAAATCTGCAAGGGCTGATGACCCTGGACACCCAGCATTTGCTGACTCTGTGGAGGACCACAGGTACACTGATGTCAACAGGTTGTGTAACTTGAACCACTGCCAAGACAGCAGTGGCTGCTATGTGTAGATGAAGACTCCAAGGTTGTGTCTACACCTGCTGAAATAAAGGACATGTCCCAAACACCTAGAAGCCACAGTCCTCTAGTTCTGAATATACAGCTGAGATTGGCTCTATACAGCTAATTATGAGTGAGTATGGGTGAACTGCACAATTGAATAGATGAATCTGTTGCTTAACTAGTTACCCACTATTAATAAAAACTGTTAATGAATCGTAAGTATTTTCAAAATAATATTCCCAATGGGTTCTTCCCCTTAAGGAGCTGGAGGCCCAGTAACTGAAGTAAACAAAATTACTGATGTCTGCTAAAAATATCTGGTAACCAGTGAATGTTCTATAATGTCTTATACCAAATTATTTTATTTGGTACTCTTACACGCCACCAAAGCATAACATAGTTTCTCATTAGCTTGTTTCTACTACTACTTTATCAAAAATGTTTTTCCCATTGTATTCCTGCTCTCCTTTCTTTCAGTTTTTAGCTTTACTTGTCCCTGGTAGACTCCCTTGCTTGCCCAGCAAGAAAAGCAAAATAGTAAATTGTTAGAGAAATAAATATGATGATTTTTGTTTGAGAAAGGAGTTTGCCATTTACAAAACATTGATTGCATCATAAGGACAATTTCTTGGAAAAACATTTATTGCAGAGAAGAATAGATGCACCCATAGGTATTTTTCTGTACTCTTTTTCTGATACAATTGTCCACGGACCATAACTCCAGGTAATAAGTATTATAGCAAGTGTGCTGTTGCTAATTAATGGAATATTTATAAAGAATTTCTCACTTTTGTATGTAAACATGTTTTTCTAGCTACAAAGCTCAAGGAGTGGTGGAAGATGTTACTAACAGAATAGTGGATCATATTCGCCCTGGACCTTACAGGCTAGACTGGGACAGCTTAATGACTACAATGGACATCATGGAAACATTTGAAGAGGTGAAAACTTGTTTAGATTCCTAAAGGAAATATGTATAGACTCATACTTGAATTTAACAGTACAGCAGAGCAGTAATTCCAACAAATACTAATTTTTCTGTGCATTTTCTGCATGCACAGGGGATACTGTGCATATCTGTGGTGGGTGACCTCAGATAAGGCTTTCTGACTGCACAGTCTTATTCTGAAGCTTGAAGTTCAGCTTTCCATCAGTGCTAAAATTAAAGGAGTAAAACTTGGTTGGTCACAGTTCTCTTGGACCTGGGAGCTCTGCTAGCCTCTGATAAAGTTCACATATAGAGAGTTAAGCATGATATTTTATATGCCAGAGCCTTTTCATGTAAGTTGTTTTTTTTCCATTCTGCAACAAACAAAATTGTGGGTGTTAATAATTCACACATACAGAAGCTGCAACCTCCCATCTTCCTGAAAGTCTGACTTCACTGTGTGCAGGGGTTTTGTGCTAGGAGCCAAAACAGTTCATACTGAGGGGCAGGACTTGCTAAAGAAAGGTAGATTTGAAGTTGATTACAGAAGAACTGATAGTCTTCCTTTGGTTACTGAGTACATTTAGTATGACTTCAAAACCCTGGGATGTCTGGCTTGAACATGGATTGGCTTTTGACTTGGTCCTTAAGCAAGATTTCTATGGCAAGGTATTTTTGCTAATCCTTAAAATTTATACAAACTACTGTCTTCTATGAAAGCCTTTTTTAAAGAACTGTTTGCATTCTGTTTTATTATTCACTTGATGGATTAAAAGTACCTGACAGAGCATCTTAGTACTGAGAGAGGCCTCTTACAATTTATTCATCGTCCTTTCAGACTTCCTAAGTAATGGTTAAGCCATATAAAAAACACATGACTTTCATTTCCCAGGCATGACACAGTTCTCTAGTTTTAGTCAATATTGTTTAAAGGTGCCAGACATTCTCTGTCCCTGCAGGTCCCAGCTGCGGACTGCAAGTCCTTACAAACTTACAGCATTTAGACTGAAAATGACACAGCCATTCAGACCTCACTGAAATTGTTTTTACAGCATAGTTGACAGGGGCTGCAACCGTTGTGAAAAAGTCTAGCTGCTTAAAAGCATAAATTTCCCTGTATTCATTATACAAAGACATTTTTGTTTTCTTACCATCTTTTTTCTGTCACTCAACAAGAACTGCTGTGTGGTGCGCTATACCACTGCTGGCCAGCTCTGGAACCTGATAGCACCAAGGGAGTTTGTTGATTTCTCTTACACTACAAGATATGAAGATGGGCTTCTAACATGTGGTAAGGCACCACTTACTTGTCTTAATTCTTATTTTGCAACAAATGCTTGGCTTAAGATTTGATTCAAATTAAGTTTAATTCCGTAGTAAGCATTCAAAAATGGTGTAATATGGTCTTCTGTAAGTATTTCAAAGATATTTTAACATTATACTGATTTAAAGAAGTATAAAAGTAACTAGTTTACCCATGACCCATCCCTGGGTGTCAAGTGTCACTTATGCCAGCTATTGGACAGGAGTGGTAGAGACAAATTGAGTGCTCTGACTCAGCTCTTGCAGCAAACTGGATGGAGTAACAACTTCAGCTTGCCAGTAAATGGGAGAAATGTCTTTTTAATGTCAGACTAAAGCTTAGTCTGCTTGTCTGTTGTGGAGCTTGAATGAAGAATAGACAACTTTGATGCATGAAAGTACCCAGAAGCTTAAAGCATGTCTGTCACTTCTACTAAATTCCCCCAGCAGAAACTTGCACATTTTAAATTTACTGCACCTCTATTTTTTAAGTATCTCAAATTAATTTCCCTTTTTCTGTTTTTTTTCCTTGACAGGTATAAGCCTAGACTATGGAGAGGTGAGACCTAACTTTGTCCGTGGATTCAATCACCCTTGTGGTTGGTTCTGTGTTCCTATTAAGGACTATCCTAGCCACAGTCTTTTGACAGGCTATATTCAGACTGAACTGCGAGGGATGCTACCACAATCTGCAGTAGACACTGCCATGTCTAGTACCCTGGCAAATTTCTACTCTGATCTCAAAAAGGCACTGAAACCAGACAAATAGTGACAGAAACCCCCGTGTATTTCTTGCAATCAAATTATATTGTTTAGTTAGCATAGACCATCTACTGAGTTAAGAGGTAACAATGTTCCTGAATGATACCTGCACCTTTATGTTGAGGGATCCAAACAACTTTACCAAGTACTTTTTGGTGTCATACTTAGAATACATTCCTAATCCATGGTGCAGGATTCTGTTTCCTGCTCAGCACTCTGCAGCTATGTGGGGAGTAGTCTGAATCTAAAACCCCTTGGCTTCCTAGGTAGAAAACACAAGATGTGTGTGTGGGCGTGAAGAATGCAGCATGAACTCAGCTCCCACCAACAGTACTGGGAGTGGAGTGCTCAGGATTTTGCTGGTGCAGGTTGCTGTATGGGCAGCATACACTGAAGATGTAATTTTGTAATATATATATTTTTATATTTACTTAAAATTTTTGATTTTTTTAGTTTGTACAATTGCATCCATAATTTGTTTTAAAAAATATGCTTTGATATATTGTAGAGATATTACACAGCTAAGTTGTTAAATGTTCTTATTCATAAGAAAGCTATTTGCTCTTCTTAGCAAAAATAAGTATTCATTATTGGCATTTCTTCAGTGTTGTTACTGTAATTTAATTAACTGTTGTATATAACAGTCTCAGTGCATAGGTAAAGAAATGCCTTTACAGCTGATCCAAAGCTCATTTAAGTCATCAGGTGTCTTTCCATAGTTTTTAGTGGGCTTTTAATCACACAGCAAACCTCCAATGGATCTTCTATGATACTCTGCACTTCTTTAGAAGTTTTTAAATTTGCATGTAATTGTGTGGGGTTTTTTGTTTTGTTTTCCTTAACTGAAAATCTTGTAATTATTAAAGCAACAGAACAGACCACTAACTTGCATCAGGTGGACACTGGTGTAGCCACAACAGCACAGACTGCCAGCATGCTGGTACAATGCACTGCAGTGTTCTGTGGTAATACCCCTATATTGATCTTTCCATTAAAGACATTAGCATCTTAAAACATAAGCAACTGAAGGCCAAAGCTCAAGATGCAGAATTGCTCACATCTGTTGGAGGATGGAGGGTCAAATTTTTAAGGGTATTTAGCCACCCAGTGATGCTGACAGATACACAGCAGGGGCTTTCAGAAGATTACTGTCTGTGTTGCTAGGGACCATTAAAACCTGACATTAAGCTTTTAATGTTCGTATGTGTAATTTGCTCAGGTGAGATTGTAATTATCTCTATGCTTTAGCAGTGCTAGTGGAGGCATTTTAGATGTGTAGTAGCTAGGAAAAGTACCTTGGAGCCCTAATACTTTGAGGCCAGTTTTATACATACAATCCAAAGACTGGTTATGAACTCTTAGAAGAAAAAAAAAAAAAAAAAGAGATGAAAATTTTTCCCTTGCAATATTGCCTATTTTGACACTGGCCACTGTAGCTGAACTCTGAGCAGCAAGGACGTTTCTTTCTCATTGTTCAAACAGAGGTAGGAAAAACATAACACCAAATATAGTGAGGGGCCTTCCAACGTGCTTCATGTATTACGACATTTAGTACTGTTTAAGACAGTTAAGAACAATGACATCAAACAGCCTTTGATGTTTGCAGAGGCAGAATATACCAACTCCCTGTTGGGTTTTGTGTATTCTGCAGTTTCCTTTAAACTCCTTGGCTACCCTTCCCATCTTTTCTATCTTCTTTGTTTTCTCCACAGTACTGGAATTTCACAAGGTGATCTTTCACCACCAAGGACAGTAAGGAATTGATGTCAGCATACACGCTTTTTCCTAAGTGCCAGGGTCCACTCCTTTCTAGTACTGGTACAGTGGCAAGTATGGAAGCCCTAGTAATACTGCTCTGTGGGATGAAAGCTGATATGATTATAGAGAAAGCTGTGTGAAGTGCACCCTGTTTATTCTTCCCAGTTATAAAGACTACATGTATAGTGCATCTGCAAATACATGTCTTCTGTTTTTAAAACTGCTGGGACTGACTAATTGAGAAGTTGTGATACAGATGTATGTAGAGAAAAATATTCCATTGCTCTGTAAAAAGCCCCTTTGAAATCTACACAGAGGCACTTCAGTGCTGAAGAAATGGGTCAAAAGGAGCACAAGACACTTAGAGGATGATGTTTATACAACAGTAGGCACTGCAGGAAAAATTAAGAGGTCCTTGTTCCAAACATCCATTATAAGGGCTCTGACACCTCTAGAGTATTTAGTGTTCAGTGAAATGGCTTTTATGCTTTCAGTGAAGATAGGCTGATGAAGCATAGAGCAGCTGAAGAAGGATGAATTTGTCTTTAAATGAAAGAAACTTGCTAGTGTATTTTAAGTATGATTATATAATAAAAATTTCTCCATTTTCCTTTTTATCAACAGAGTTGTTTTCAGTAACAGGCCTAGAAATGGAAAGAGTTTGTGAACATGACTAAAGTTCCTGAAAGCCAAGTAGACCTTCTCTTTTGCATTACAGTAATTTATTCCTGTAACGCTGATAAAGCTGGCTTTGTGTGTTTTAACAGACATAGTCTATTGCTTCTGCCAATGATTCTGAACATTTGAGTGAATAACAGAGCAGAGACTATGCAAGACAAAGAATGGAGGCAGGTGTGGGGTTTTTAAAAATCCATCAAAGAGCATAGTATAATTTTCCAGTTTTCAGACAAGGAGAAACCACAGAAGGTGCTAACAAATTTTAAAGATTTCTTCTGGGGAATGTCACACTTCTAAAAATTTTTCTGGTTTAGGAGTGCAGTGTATACTGATCATGCTGCTGAAGCAATGCATAGCTGCTACCACTACAGTCATTATTCCAAACAGTTCAGTTATAGAGTAATACAGAGCTAGAAGGAAGATACCCAGTTTCATAGTGTGTTTTATTTATTTGAAACGAAAACTTACTTTCTTTTTATATAGCTAAGGATTGAGAGGAGTGTTAGATCTTGAATCAAAGCTGTTCTTTAACCAGAATACATTCAGAATCAAGACCATAAAATCAAGTACTTGTCCAATCAGAACCTCTTTTCTCACCATGGCATTGTTTGCTTCTAAGTTAGTGGACAATCTTGATGGAGCCAAGACAGTAAAAACAGGAAAGCAGTTGAAAGTACAGAATGCCGGAGCCCATGTTTTGCTTATTAGGATGTAGTGGGAGGCAAAGTAAGTTACCTAGTATAGATTTCTGTCATTATCACAGCAGAATTTCTGCAAGTTTGTGAGATTTGCCAGTGTTTTTCAGTTAAAATGTAATATAGTTATTCAAAGCAACATCTGAACAGGGTGCCCAAGAATAGCACAGGCCAGTTTTTGCTAGGGAAATGTATATAGACACATCAAAATTGTGTTGCTATGACTAGTATTTTTTTAAAAAACCTTACTTTTCCAGAGGTCTAGGCAATATGACAGTCTAATCTTTGGCACTTTAGGTGCTCTGTGTGTGTATGGATAGGTGGCTAAGATAAGAAAATTTTCATGTTTGTCTTCTGTTCCTCATCTGAAACCTCCAGCATTAAACCTTGCCTGTAGTTGTGCTCCTTATTTTACATATGAAGAAGACAGAGATTGGACTAAACTCAATTTGGAGGCAGTCCAAGTTACTCTACCACAGCCTGCTAGGAGGTGGATGAGTACTTCAGATAGATACTGTGGGAACAGCACAAGCCCTGATCTCAAAATTGATGAATTTATAAATGTGAAATATGATGAATTTATAAAACATGAAAAGTGTATAATTCCTCCAGTAGTCATAAATAACCAGAACTGTTTTGATGGTTATTGGTTTTGATTGATGCTGAGCTGGTGATTCAACGTAGAAGGTTCACTGCTGTAAATGTAGCCATAATTCTAGTGTAATCAGTTGAGTTGTGCCTATGTTCAGAAAGTCAGTCAGTGGTTTTAACTGTCGATGTTCAGCACTTAAGAGATTGTATTTATATTTTTAAAGTAATTGCAGAATAAAGATTTCAACAGTCTCATGACATAGCTTTTTTGATACTTGTGCAGGCATTCAGTTACTTTTTGGATAGTTACATCTGATGATGTATTTCATCTTCAGCTTCATGGTGAACTCTAATGCTATCAATTCATCTCCTTAAATTTGAAAGCCAAAAAGCCTATCTTTACTTAAAAACCTGATTTAGCCCAAGGAAGATGCACAGCTCCGATTTCTGCTAAATTGAAATCTCTTGAAAACTGTACAAATAGGATTTTCTCAAAGCTTAAATTCTAAAATTGTGTATAGTTTTTTGTCATGACCCCATGATTGCTGTGGAAGAACTTTATTATTTTGTCTTAGTATTACTTAACTTTTAGCATGTTTAAGAAATGGTTTATTAATTAATAGTCAAAATCAAGTTAATCCAAAACACATGAGCACATAGCACTTTGAAACAGGTATATAGATGTACATTAGGATTATAAAACATGCTGCAACATGTATTTTTACATGAATTTAATTAGCACCTACAGAAACAAAGGAAGAAAATGCCAGTATCTTATGTAGAACCTTTCCTTGTTTTTCTTATTAAGCTTGCATAAAGGCATAAGAGTTCTGCAGCATTTGACTTCAGAGCAGAGTTGCAGCCCTCTTCTGTTGCTGAGAAAAGGAATTGTGACCTCTGTGATACAGCATGCTCTCATAGGTCATGTATCATGTCATCCTCTCCAAAGTGGGGTGGGAATAGGTAGAGAGTCTACTTCAGATCTTTGGAAAATGATTAAGGACATTAATTAGAATTATCACCAAAAATAGTCATGTTTAAACCCATTTCCTCGTGAAAGAGAATATGTAAGATGGGAGACATAATAACAAATCTATGCTAAAATTTAAATGTTCTCTAGGAAAGAGTATATCCTAAAGTCATAGACCACAATTTAAACTCTGTAATACATTCTGCCTTTTCCAGTACTCACTGAACTTTGCTGGTTACTCACTTTTACAGTACAGGTAGGCACTGATTATTTGTGGGGTTAATATTCCTTGGGATTGTGCCACTAGCAGGGAGAAAACAGGCACAGATGATAACAGCACGTGACTGTAGATACCTGTGCACATTTCACACTGACCCACACAGTAGGAGATGTCTCATCTGGATTAAGGTGCCCCAAATCCCAACATATCATTTGTGTCCTTCAAAGAGATTTTCTTTAAAATTTCTCCTTCAGTGAGTCCAATCAGTATGACTCCCTAATGAATGTTGAAAACTTTTCTTCGATACATACTATTAGAAGATCAGTTGCTGCCCAAAGTGTAATCAGAAACTGAGCTTGCTCAGGCCTTCTGTGGACCAGTTTGATTGTGATCTGGAATGCCTGATAGAAAGCATCTCCTGAGCTCTCTACCTGGGCCTGCTGACCTGCCTGCCACCACAGACCCAGCTCTGAGGGCAAATTAGCTCTGGAGAGCAAATTACTATCTTAAGATTCCCTGGCTTTCACAGGGTGTTGATCTGAGTGCTGCCTTTAATTTGTGTTCCAATCAGACAGCATTACAGTGTCTTGGTGTTTCTAATTGAAGCTCCAGTGCTCACTGGGGATGCAGGGCAACACTCAAGGGGGTGCATTTGAGCAGTTGCAAACATGAGTACTTTGTCACTTCGGTACTATACAACTCTCCTTAGTCTGTATGCCTAACAGGATTTTGAGTTCCTCATAATTTGGAGGAAGAAAATAAAGAAATCACAGCATGCCTGTTCACTGGAGCATGAGAAATGTCCCTATAAGCCAGCATCTCTTATGCATACAGGATTAAGCATGGAGCCCCTGTGTGCTCAGCCATCTCTGCTGAATTTCATGGTCTCCGTGTCTCAACCAGTCACCCTAATTTAAATGATACAGTTAAAACCTGAACATCTGTACAGAAACACGGCCCATTGGTGTTGAGATACTGAAAGTTTCCCAACTCCAACAGGTGTAATAATCTTCACCAGAAGAAGACTGTTGTGTCTGCTGTTAGTGACCCACACAGCAGTTAACATGAGCTGGGCCAGATCTGTGCTGTGCATGTTCTCTGGCTGCAGGATAAATTCACCCAGATATTGACAGCAGAGGAGCCCACAGGCAGCAGCCATGCAATACTGGTGATTACACCACCTGCATGGCCTCCCCTGTGTCTGACAGTGCAGCAAGAAGTTCTCATGTGAATATCCTTTCTGCTTGATAGTAGAAATGGTAAGTAGTTGATACACGAAATTATTAACTGTTTTAAGAAAATTCTGTAATAGCTGGAATAACAAAAAAATCATGTAACCCTTCCACAGTCAGGATCTGCACAGCATGCTGTGCCAGAGGCCTGTTTGATGCCTCACAATTCAGGGTTCCCAGAATTTGAAGGTATGCAAAATTATCTATACTACCCTCTCTTTCTTTATTGTGTTAGCTCTAATAAATAGAACTTTAAATGATACTTTACAGAGGCTAATTGCCTTTTTACTGGGATCATGAGGAACCAATGCTTCCTGGTGCAAAACAGTAGGCAAGATGAAGAATCAAATTTTATATATGTTCTACATGGGCAAAACATCTTTATGTTCTGCCTGTGTGCCTTCCAGCTTTTACCATGGTAACTGGGCATTTGTGGAAGAGAAATGGAGGAAACCTGATGCCCACCACATGTTCTACCTGCTACATGCTTCTTGCCTGAAGATATGGAAGAATTATCATGAAAAAGAAGTGAGGAAGATGGAAGAGGACTTTCATACATTACCTTTTTCTTAAATGTCAAAGAAAAGTATAGAGAATTCACAATGCATGTAAAAATATTAAATAATTTCCCAAACCATCTGCAGATAAAACGTTACTTGCACATGTACAATGTACACATACATGTTGAAGGAAAAAGTTGTTTTAATGGCTCAGAAGGACATAAGAACTACAAAACCCCAGGGTTTTATAAAGAAGCAGACTGCACCAGGCATGAGCAGAAATGCAGATTTTTGTTAGTTATGAGGCAAAATGGTTTTGTTTAGCTTCCCAGCTATCCTAAATTATGGGCAGTTTCTGCTCCTCTGAGTGGTTCTGTCAGGTTACAGACTTGTCAGTTGTTTCTTATGTCCCATTTTCTTGTTTGTCTCAAGCTTGTTATAAAACCACTGTAATGTTATGCTGTAACATGATCTTCCACACCACTGTTTGATGTGCTGCTTTTAAGAGGTCAGTCCAAAGCACAAAGATGTTGAGTTCTAGGGGGAACTCAAAGTCTGTAAGACCCAGCTCCTATACACTCCTTTTGACTTGTTATAGACATGGAAGAAGATGATTTCATCAAACTGTAGTAAGAACCTATGTCTCACCTCAGTTTGGGAAAAGATTCTACAACATCCATGGAAGTGCCAAATTAGACAGTTTTTCTGGAGCACCATTTGTCGGTCTCAGTCCAGCAGGGATCGGAGCAGCACGCAGAAGAAATACAAACTCATACTAGTTTGTTGAAGGGGGGATATTGCCAAGAGCAAATGCTGCCACACTGAGTGCCAGCTCCCACTTTACTCCTACTTGTTTACATAGGTTTGATTTTACTTCTACATCCTGCTGGTTTTATCTGTTTACCGCTCACACACTCACCATGCATTCTGAAGGCAGTGTTCTGGCCTGCTGTTTCTGATGCTTCCAACACAGTGTTCTGAATGCTGCCTCAGTTTCCCACAATCATTCTTCTAACCTCAGGGTCAGTTTACATTTTGCTAACCACCAGTTCTTAATTCCCACATCTCCCTCTTCTTTGTTTTATAGCTTTGTTTCCATGGTGATCATTGCAATCAGTCTCAGTTTGGCCTTCTGCACAATGGACAGAAGGTGACATATGTGTTGCAAGATGGCAAATCCTGTAAAAGAAATCAAACATCCCAGGCCTGCTAAAACCCACATCTGTAGGTTCATACCTGCAAATTAATGCCAAGGTTTGAGCCATTATGATGGTTTTAAGCCCTGCCAGGACCGGAGACCATGTTGCCATTGTCCCTCCCCCACCCTCGGACACAAGTGGGGCACAAACCCTGGGTTAAAATAAGAAGAAATTTAATTCAACAGTGTAGTAAGCAATCTGAACAACAACAGTAGCATTGATAACAACAATAAACAGCAATAACAGTAAACAAGACAGAAGATATACAGAGAAATACCGCAATGGTTACAGACAGCTTGCTCGCGATGCTCCCCTCTACCAAAGCCACAAAGGAAAGCTTCCCGCACTGCCCCTGGTCCTGACATCAGCATGGTATGAATAACCCGTCTGGAGATCCCTTCCCCCTCTCTGCTGGGGAAACTTATCCCTATCCTAGCTGAACTAGGACAGCTATGATAAACTTTTGCCTAACTCTCTCATGATGTCATCATGCATTAATTTCAAGGATGCCAATTAAACTCAGACATCTGAGTGAAGAGTAGGCTGATTTCACTATCAATAATTAAAGGATATAACTAAGTACTACAAAAATAAGCAGTAAAAAAAATACAGTACACTTATTACTATATATAATTAAATAAGGCAAATGCACCTAATTATTACTATGCAATGGGTACTAATATCCAGGTCTGCAATTGCTGGGGAACCCCAGTTGCAGAGAGGATTTGGAGTACCTTCCCTGCAAGTGGGAAATCCTATGCAATGTGTCCAGCCTAAGTGAATGTCACAGATGAAAGTATTGACATGGTAATGATTTAGAAAAATAATCTAGATTTATTAATAACTAACAACTATTTGTCAATACAAAATAATTCAGAAAGAAAAGCGACTTATTCAGGTTCTAAAATGACAATATTCACTCTAACTTACTTAGCGGTACCTTAATTTATAGACATATGTACATGCGCATACACAAACCAGACATATACATACAGAAACAAAGGGGTTTGGATTCAGTAAAATGAACACAAAAGGGACAAGCACACAGGAACAAGGGTAAGGGTACATACCCCCCCCCCCCCCCCCC